TTTAATGTAGGCGTTTTTACTCTCCCATTAACCCCATCCGTACGCCCTGGGGTCATTTTGTACCCCCGGGGTTGTATTTTAAACATTTTAGAATACTTCTAGTACGAAGATCTCTTTGAAACTTTCAGTACTTCTCAAAAAATCATTTAGACAGACTGCTATGCAAAGCGTGCAGATCGGACTAACGAGTAAATTTCCTCTTTAGAAGTGGTGGCACAAAGTTCCCCACGTCGTATGGATACGATAGTAAAACACGACGTACGGATAAGGTTAAGTTGTGGCACAGAGTTCCCCACGTCGTATGGATACGATAGTAAAACACGACGTACGGATAGGGTCAACAAAATAGGAACCTTTATGAGGTGAGCATCCAGCCCAGCCTGTCAGGGGCAACCCATGCAGAGAGAGGGGTACAACATCCCAGCAAAAAGAGACTAAGATAATCTAAAAAAAAAATTTTCTCCCCACTGAGGAACTGAACTCAGGTTTCCTGCATGCCACAGCGACATTCTCAACCACTACACCACAGATGCCGGTGAAACAGACGGACTGACGAACACCTTTTGTTTCCCCTTTCATATTCTTTCATCACTGATCCTCTACAAAGCCGTTTTCACAAAAATTTTCCTTGGGACCTCATGTCCTTTCCAGTGCTACATTTTTCTTACCGAAAGACCCAAACTGCACCCAGATTAAGTACAAAATGCTTACGACAAAGAAAGCTTTGTAAATATATAAAGTAGTTGCTCATGAAAACTTTAACCGTAGGACAAAAAGACTTAACCATTGAGGTTGAGTACAGAGAAGCAAATCGATACAATAATAATAATAGTCACTATTTAGTGCAAGGAAAAAAAAAGACAAGACAGACAGACAGATATAAGGGAAGTAAAGAAGTAGGACCTCCCAGCGACACCCTCCAACCACCCACAAAATGCTCACCTATGGTGAAGACGGGGACAAACACACCAGCGGGGATGGGCAGCGTGTTGGAGAAAACTGCCATCAGGAACTGTTGACATACAACAACACATCGGCCCCGTCACACAAGGGATAAAATAAGGAAAGATAAGGTGGGGTGAGGAAAGGTAAGGTCAAATACGGTGTGGTATGATTAGGTAAGGTAAGATAAGGTAAGGTAAGATAAGGTAAGGTAAGGTAAGGTAAGGTAAGGTAAGGTAAGGTAAGGTAAGGTAAGGTA